TCTTGGCCCATCGCCAAATGGCAAATAACTCATAGGATGTCTGTCAGCGACAGCATCATCCTCAAATCTTTCGGGATCGAATACTTCAGGTTCCGGATAAATATTTGGATCATGTTGAATTCCATATACTGGTATCCATATTTTTGTCCCTTTCGATATTTTAATTTTAGTATCTTTAAACGTATAATTTTCCATCGCTTGTCTGCTTAGTACCGGCAATACTGGATACTTTCTCAGTGTTTCTGTTAGGATATTAATATTTGTTTATTGTTATAACATTAATTTCATCTATAAAGTTTCTATATATTAATATTATATATTTATATATATTATATTATATTATATTTATATTATATTTCTATATATGTGATATAATAAATAATTACAAAAGTAAATATGCTGGTATCCATATCTTTATAAATATCAAATATATCATCATAATGTATTTATTATTATTAATGTTTAGTTAAATTATTTTCTATTTTAACCAGATTATTTTAAAAAATAATTAATAATACAATTAATATAATTTAAGAGTATTTACACACCTTTAAACACTTTGTCTAAATACTTCATTTCTTTCACATCTGTATATGAAAATGCTCCGTCATTATTCTTGCAAACTTCTTTTATTTCTTCTCGTAATTTATCTTGCATTTCCTGATTTTGAGCTAACTCGTAGAGAGCATTCGAAATAGTTGTCGAAGATGTTTCAAATCCAGCGAGGAAGAAGACGAGTGCTTGCGAAGTGAGAAGCGCATCGGTTAATTCTATAAAATATTTGTTACAAATTTATAATTAATATTACATATTAATATAATTACATATATATAATTTATTGCATATTTTTCAAATCGACTATAAATTGGAAAATATATGATTTAAAGTCATAATAAAATTTGAATAATCAAAAATTCAACAACAAATGTTTATTTTCAATAAAACGTTTTAAAAATATAAATATTCATTACGTTCATCTTTATTTTTAAATAACTGACAATATTAATTTTTCTCGCATTAATATGAAAATATGGAAATAAACAAAAAAATTACACTTTCAAGATTTTTTCCTTTAGATTTTTAATGTACTTACCAATATTTTCTAATTTTTCTGGATGTTCCTTTAGTTCTTTCAACGTGTTGACAAAATCTGGTCTGAATACGTTATTCTCCTGTCTATATTTGATCGAGTCACGGATTAGATTTATAAAGAAGTTGTTAATTTCGTGCGATTGTAAGTAACCACCAATTATATCGAACAAAAATGGCATATATAGCCTGGTAAAATCTCTAGCTAAGCGTTTGAAGCTGAATTTGCCAAGTTCTTCCCCCATTCGACGAAATTCGCTTCCTTCGGGCGAAAGAGAATTCATGCACACTCCGAACGCGCAGCTGCCAATTACGTCGGTCGTGAATTTTGCAGCCATATCACGACAGTCCACCGGTTCTCCGCTCTTTCTTACTTTTTCTACGTATTCCTCTAAATTTTTTGCGCAATCCAGTATAAGAGGGAACATATCCTTTAATTTGCCTGATGTAAATACTGGAGAGAGTTTCGTTCTCAATGGTCGCCATGTTTTAGATTCCAATGCGAAGAGAGTTTGAAATATTGGTTCTACCTTTAAATTAAATTATCCCAAGTTTTTATCTTTCTTCATTTTATTTTAAATTATTTTATGCGATTAAATTTTTTTTATCTCGTGCATAATTTACAAAGTGCACGAA